ATTAAATAGGGTAAAGGCCATTAAAGAATTAAAAAAGCCCAGTAACATTTATGAGCTAAGGCCATTTTTGAGTCTTGCTACTATCGTTGTTTTATCACGGATTTCGCAACGATAGCAAGACCTTTGACTAATATCGTAAAGGGAAAAGCGGGTAAAGTTTGCAAATATCGATCAAAGAATATGTCTGTTCATGTAGATAATGCCAAACTCAATGCGTTTGACAGACTTAGGTATATTTTTGCCTCAAAAGACGTAATTTAAAACTACCAAGATTTTTCAAGTCTGTTCGAACTGACAACAAACACTTTTTCTACAGGCATAGGTACGATTTTATCGCTAAATAAAAGACTAAAAGAATAAAAGACTGATTTCAAAAGAGTTAAAGGAAAAGAAGATTATTTACGGCAAAAATGAAAGGGAGCTTTTGTCTATTGTATGGGCTTTAGATACCTTACGTTATTACCTATACGGAAAAAAATGATATCAATATCTACACAGCCTCTCTTGGTCTCCGATAAAAACCCGAACTCTAAGATTAAGAGCTGGGAAGCGTGCATCGAGGAAAGCGGCGCTAAGATTTTTTAAAAGCCTGGAAAGGAGAACGTCAGAACATTCATGATTCACACAATGCGCCAAAGTCGAGTGCCACGACGAGGCACAGTGAAGAATCGTTGACACGTGTTATTGAAGATACTGACAAGCTGGTCAACTGCTCCCAAAATCAGATAGTTTCGGAAAAAGCAATTATCTCTAGTCACAGGACATTTTTACTGTTTGGGTCAAAGTCACGGCACATTATTACCGCAATAACCGCAAATCTAAGGTAGCAGATATTATCAGAAGGGACGAGCAAATGGAAATAATGGTCAGGGAGCATAACAGGGCTCGCAGGGCTGCCCAGGAAATTGTTAGGCACGTTTTACTTGAATCCGAAAATGGGCAAAATAACAACCGAAGTGGTCGTAAATTGCAGAGTTTACGAGAAGGCTAAATATAATAGGCATCCAAAAAATTAAGAACTTGGAGTGACCCTAATACCTGCATGTACGGGTGAGATAGTACATATTGATATATTTTAAACAGCCGGAAAATATTTTCTCACGGCAGTCGAAAAGTTTGTCAAGTTCTCAAGTTTTTCAAGTGCAGCCTATTCCCTCGCTCACTATTGAGGATGTCAAAGCTCCAATTTTGCAGTTGGTCAATGTTTTTCCGAGGATAAGGACTATACGGTGCGACAATTAACCGGCTCTTGTTTCTGAAACTATCTGATCTTTGTTAAAAGGACAATACGAAATAGATATGGTTAACGCTGCGCCACTGAATAGTACTTCAAACGGTCTGGTTAAAAGATTCCATAACACTCTAACAGAGATAGCGAGATGCTTAACGTTGCAAAAAAAAGATGGGTGTTGTTGTCCAGTTATTTCTCTTGTTTCTGAAACTATCCGATCTTTGTTAAAAGGACAATACGAAATAGATATGGTTAACGCTGCGCCACTACATAGTACTTCAAATGGCCAGGTTGAAAGATTCCATAACACTCCAACAGAGATAGCGAGATGTCTAACGTTGCAAAAAAAAATATAGGTGATGTGGTCCAGTTATTTCTGCAGGCTACCATAGAATATAATAGATCGTTTCCCTCTGTAACGCACAAAAAACCAATTTAGGTTGTCTATGGGAGTGCTGACCTTCCTCCGGACGTAATTGAAAAACAAACGAGAGCACAACAGAAACAGCTGAGTTGCCCACTATATGTAGAAAACACAGTTGAAGCTGATCTATGAACCACTGTTAAAAAAGGGACCAATATTGGATACTATCCCATAGACATCACTTTACGAGCTTCTATGTATTTCTATTGCTATCCGTAGGTATTGCCCAACACGGCAGCCGCCAATATGAATGTTTACCTTTTTTACAGAGGATGCGCTAATATGCACGGTATACCACGAGAAAGCTAATTTTTAACCAATTCGGATGGTACCACTCCCATTAAAATCGCTCCCACAGATTTTGAGAAATCAAGTCCCGAAATGTTCGCACTCTGATTCGCCAATACTGGCCATTCTCCATTATCGCCAATACTGGGACTGGTATCAGTCCCATTAAAATCTCTCCCACAGATTTTGAAAAATCAAGTCCCGAATTTTTCGGACCCTGATTCGCCAATACTGGCCATTATCATTTTCCCGAGTTGTGACGCTGCCCAACACGGCAGCCGCCATTATGAATGTTTACCTTTTTTACAGAGGATGCGCTATTATGCACGGTATACCACGAGAATGCTAATTTTTAACCCATTCGAATGGTACCAGTCCTTTAAAGGGGTTATATACAGTTGTGATAGATGAAAAAATCGATTTTTGACGATCGGAGCATTAGAACCGAAGCTTTAGCTATTTATAGCGCACTACCTGCACATCAAACTTGAACAAAATTGAAACTTTGAACGCAATTATCTCAGAATCTTGTTTTTTCGGTGGACACGATTACTAAAAAACTATTAATCCGATCAACACCAAATTTTGACCACTTATTTATTATGATATTAGCTAGTTCGTGAACGAAGGATTTTCAATTTTTTTGAAAACTATTTTTTTAGAGCATAAAAATCGAAAAACGTATACCTTGAAAAAGTACATTTTTTGTTAAATACGTCGCCATTTTTTTAAATCAAATATTTTATAAATCCCTCGTTCACGGACTAGGCAATACAATACTATCGAAATTTTTTTTTTTAATTTTTGGTTTCGGATGAACCGTTCTCGGAATATAATGTCCACCGCAAGACACCATCGAAAAAAGACGATCTTGGAATTCGGCTATAACATTTTTATTATTACACAACACGGCAGCCGCCATAATGAATGTTTACCTTTTTTACAGGAGATAAGGCTTACTTTATTCAGAACATTATAAGACTATTTTTATTTGAATCGCTCCCACAGATTTAAAGAAATCAAGTCCCGAAAATTTCATACCCTGATTCACCAACACTGGCCATTAACAGCATCACACATTTCTGCGCTGCCTAACACGGCGCCCGCTATTATGAAACTTGAATGCCTACCCTAGCTTTTTTTACAGAAGATGCGCCATTATGCACGGTATTTCGCTCCCACAGATTTTGAGGAATCAAGTTCCGAAATTTTCGGACCCTGATTCGCCAATAGTGGCCATTATCATTTTCCCGAGTTTTGACGCTGCTCAACACGGCAGCCGCCATTATAAATGTTTACCCTTTTTAAAAAGGATGCGCCATTATGCACGGTAAACCACGAGAAAGCTAATTTTTAACCCATTCGAATGGTACCAGTCCCATTAAAATTGCTCCCACAGCAATTTGCTTTCGGACCCTGATTCGCCAATACTGGCCATTATCATTTTCCTGAGTTTCGACGCTGCCCAACACCGTTTTTTACAGGGGATGCGCTATTATGCACGGTATACCACGAGAAAGCTAATTTTTAACCCGTTCGAATGGTACCATTCCCATTAAAATCAAGTCCCGAAATTTTTGGACCCTGATTCGCCAATACTGACCATTATAATTTTCCCCGAGTTGTGACGCTGCCCAACACCGTTTTTTACAGGGGATGCGCTATTATGCACGGTATACCACGAGAAAGCTATTTTTAGCCCGTTCGAATGGTACCAGTCCCATTAAAATCAAGTCCCGAAATTTTCGGACCCTGATTCGCCAATAGTGGCCATTATCATTTTCCCGAGTTTTGACGCTGCTCAACACGGCAGACGCCATTATGAATGTTTACGTTTTTTAAAAAGGATGTGCCATTATGCACGGTATACCACGAGATCGTTAATTTTTAACCCATTCGAATGGTACCAGTCCCATTAAAATCGCTCCCACAGATTTTGAGAAATCAAGTCCCGAAATTTTCGGACCCTGATTCGCCAATACTGGCCATTATCATTTTCCTGAGTTTTGACTCTGCCCAACACGGCAGCCGCCATTATGAATGTTTACCTTATTTATAGAGGATAAAGCTTATTTTATTCAGAACATTATAAGACAATTTTTATTTTAATCGCTCCCACAGATTTAAAGACATCAAGTCCGAAAATTTCAGACCCTGATTCACCAACACTGGCCATTAACAGCATCACATATTTCTACGCTGCCTAACACGGCGCCCGCTATTATGAAACTTGAATGCCTACCCTAGCTTTTTTTACAGAAGATGCGCCAATATGCACGGTATTTCGCTCCCACAGATTTTGAGGAATCAAGTTCCGAAATTTTCGGACCCTGATTCGCCAATAGTGGCCATTATCATTGTCGACGGTCAAAACATTGTTATCGATAGTTAAGTCAGTATTATTAGGAAATGTAGTATTTTAAGTTATCGGAATTACGGGCCTACTAATAGCGGTAGTGTGAATGCCGCCAAAAAGTGCCATTCATTGTTTTGTTGATTGTAGGAGGGCACACTGCGGTAAGAAGAAGAGATATATTTGAATTGTAAACTAATTTATGAATTAATAGAATAAAACGTTCCGTTAGCCACAGCCAAGGCCTTTGAAGTACCCCTTTCTTCGGACCTACGCGTGTGGGAAGCCGTTTAAGGCAACTCCACATGACACAAAACAACAGCTTTTATTCGCAGTCCTAGGGAGACTGCAAGGGCAACTTGCGCTGGAGGACGGCTCGACGACCAGCTAGAGAGTTGCCAGGAGCGCACGGAGCGCAGTTCCCGTACCAGCAGAGGAGTCGCAGCCAGCGACATAGACGGCGCAAGGAGCGCCAAATACTGAGTACGGACGGAGTCGCAGCCAGCGACACGGAGACGCAGTCGGCGTCAGTTCTGGAGACGCAGCCAGCGTCAGGATAGGAAACGCAAGGAGCGCCAAGTACCAGCGGCAAGGAGCGCCGAGCATCAGCGGCAGCAGCCAGACGGCACAAGTCCGCCATTTTGGAGCGCTAGTGCAGCGCTATTTTGGAGCGCTAGGGCAGCGCCATATTTGAACACTTGGAGATGCAGCATTCCCCCAGGAGGAGTTCCCGGCTGAACGGAGGGGAAGCCACCCCTACAACAAGTAGTGCAGCAGAAAGCCGGCCAAGGGTTAACATAACCACGGCAGAGGCCATTTCTCGCCCAGCCACTACAGCGACTACAGTAGCGTCCCAACCAAGGAGCACTGTAACAGCAGCTGCGAGTTCAGAGCCGGAGGTGAGCCAGCCACTCACGGCGTACCTATTGGAGAGGATTACGGCGTTGGAGATCGAGCTGAAGAAGGTCAAAGCCTTGGACGCAACAAGCACCGCCAATTGCGCGCCAATCGCAGTTGGCCCAAGCGCAAATGGCGCCAACAGTGGAGCGTCGGAGCGGCCGCCATCGTAAAGCGGACCGCCATTAGCCGCCACATCGAACGGTGAGGTCCCAACTAACGGGGTCGGGCCGGACCCATATAGCAGTTTCGGTGAGACCAGTGGGGCCTACACGCTGCCGCCATCTTGGAGTGGACCACCGTTGCTAACGACTAGCAACCCACTGTGCGCTACAAGTGCTGCGCAGACAGCGCATGGATTCGCGCTACCGGGCGGGAGCATCCACAACGTGGCAACTGCATCGCCATTTGTTGGATCCTACGCCTGGATGACCAAGGAGGCTCCCGGACTTGCCTACATTTGGAGGGCAGCCCGAGGATTGGCCCATTTTTAATTGTGCGTTTGTGGAGACGACCCAAGCGTACAACTGCACAGACCTGGAGAACAACCAGAGGCTGTTGAAGGCGCTGAGGGATGAAGCACGCGAGACTGTGAAGTCGCTGCTGATTCACCCTGCGAATGTCAGAGCCGTGATGGAGCAGCTGCGCTTTAGGTTTGGCCGACCGGAGCAGCTTATACGCAGCCAGCTGAACAGCGTGCGAGAGGTGCAGCCGATTTCGGAGCAGCAACTGGCGAGGATCGTCCCCTTCGCAACCAGAGTGAGTAACCTCACGGCCTTCTTGCAGTCGGCGAAGGCGGAGCAACATCTGGGAAACCCCACACTCATGGAGGAGCTTGTTGCAAAGCTTCCCACCAGCAAACGAGTGTATTGGGCCAGGCACGCTGCATCGATCCAGCCCTTTCCCACTGTAGCGCACTTCAGCGCGTGGCTACAGGAGTACGCGAACATCGTGTGTACGATTTTGGACGTCGATGGAAAGGAGCCGAGGCGTCGAGTTCTACACGCGAGCGTCGACCAGAACGGATACGAGCAGCGGGATGACCGGCATGGAGGTTGTCCAATTTGTGAAGGTCAACATGCTACGACGAGTTGCAGCGAATTCATTGAAGCTTCGCCACCGGGCAGATGGAGCATGGTGAAGAGGCATCGGCTCTGCTTCACATGCTTACGGAGTGGGCATGCGGCCAGATCCTGCGATGTGCATGGCGAGTGCCAGATCAACGGATGCCGCAGATTGCATCACCGTCTGCTACATGAAGAGGACGAAGGGCGAAGACGGCCGGAGCAGCGAGGTGGTTTCAGGCGCCACAACGGAGGAAACCAGATGTCACCAGTTTCCAGACGCAGCCTGGAGAGAAGGGCCCCGCAGCCAGCAGAAGCTCCCGTGCAGACGAATTTAAGTATTGACGTCGAAGGAGGCCGACTTTTGTTTCGCATACTACCAGTAACGCTGTACGGAGCTGGTCGCCAGGTGGACACATACGCGCTGTTAGATGAGGGATCCTCCGTCACGATGATCGACAACGAGCTACGAAGGGATCTGGGATTGCAAGGCGAACATCGACAGCTTAACGTCCAATGGTTTGGAGGAAGAGCCAGCAGGGAGCCTACCAACGTGGTGAGTCTGGAGATAAGTGGAGCTGGGAAGCCCACTCGCCACCCGTTGAAAAACGTGTACGCCGTTTCAAACTTGAGTCTGCCGATGCAGACGTTATGTCGACGAGATGTCCAGGGCGTGCAAAGGGATTCGAGACTGCCGATGAAGCCCTACAGCAACGTGGTGTCGAAGTTGCTCATCGGACTGGCCCATGGACATTTGGGATTGCCACTTAGGACGAGGCGGTTTGCCAGAGAGGGACCGTTCGCGACCGCAACCAAGCTTGGATGGGTTGTGTTTTGGCCAGTAAGTGGACAATCAACTACGCCGTCACCGAGGTCCTGCCTTCTAGCCGTGTCAGTGGAGGACACGATGGAAAAGATGGTGGAGGACTACGTCGAGATGGAAGGCTTTGGTGTGAAGCTCGCGCAACCGGTCGCAGCCAGCGACGACGCGCGGGCCCAAAGGATCCTCGACGACACCACGGTGAAAGAGGGGCGTCGCGACCAGACGGGATTGCTCTGGAAGGATGACCACGCTGTGCTGCCACGGAGCTATGAGATGGCGCACAGACGGCTGATCAACGTCGAGAAGAAGTTGAAGCGCAACGGGCAGTTGGCTCTGGAATACGACCGTATCATCAAGGATTACGTTTCCAATGGATATGCAAGGAAGCTGCAGCCGGATGAGGTCGCGGTGAAGAGCGACAAGCTGTGGTATTTGCCACATTTTGGTGTGGAAAACCCAAACAAGCCCGGAAAGGTCCGGCTTGTGACCGATGCTGCAGCCAAGGTTGGAGGAACCTCACTCAATTCGGCGCTGGACAAAGGGGCTCAGCACTACAAGCCCTTGCCAGCTGTGCTCTTCCTCTTCAGAGAAGGAGCAGTCGGAGTCTGCGGGGACATCAAGGAGATGTTCCACCAAGTGCTGATCCGACCCGAGGATCGATATTCCCAAAGGTTCCTCTGGAGAAATGGCAACGACGATCGAGAGCCGGATATATACGAAATGAACGTGATGACTTTTGGAGCAGCCTGCTCGCCGAGCACTGCGCACTACGTCAAGACGGTGAATGCCTTGAAGTTTCGGGATTCAGATCTGAGGGCAGTCAAGGCCATCATCGACCACCATTATGTCGATGACTACGTGGATAGTTTCGATACGGAGAGCGAAGCTATCGAGGTATCTACCCGAGTGAAGGAGATACACGCGGAGGCTGGATTCGAACTATGCCAGTTCTCATCCAGCTCACCCATCGTGGAAGCGGCGCTGGGACCACCTGGACAAGTCAAGAGCGTCGGATGGGGTGAGTCTGAGCAGAAAATCCTCAGACTCAAATGGAATGCGTTGGTAGGTAGCAACGGATGACTTCAGATTCAACGTGGAGTATCATCGAGTGCCAAAAAGCGTCCTAAGTGGAGAGCGAGTCCCAACAAAGGGGGAGTTTTTGAGCCTGCTGATGTCAACGTTCGACCCATTGGGGTTCCTGTGCTGCATGAAGATTACAGCGAAGCTGTTGCTGCGGGAGATCTAGAGGCAGAAGATCCAGTGGGACGAACCGCTGCCGGAGGAGATAGGCAAAGCCTTTGCTGCCTGGCGCAGAGAGATGGACGCCGTGGGACAGTTCCGATGTCCTTGCCACTATTTTGGGCGTGGAGAAGTTTGGACAATCGAGCTACACGTTTTCGTGGACGCAAGTCAATCTGCATTCGCGGCGGTGGCCTATTGGAGGGTCACGTACAAGAATTGAAACGTGCTGGTTAGCTTCGTGTGCGCAAAGACGAAGTGTGCGCCGATGAGAACGATGTCCATCCCACGACTGGAGCTGCAGGCAGCGGCCCTTGGAACCAGAGTGATGAATACTGTCAAGGAAGAACACAGTGTGGACATCAGCGAGACGGTTTTATGGACGGACTCAAAAACGGTGCTGAAATGGATCGGTAGCACCCACCGCCGGTATAAGCAGTTTGTTGGCAACCGAGTGGCGGAGATTTTGGAGTCATCGAAGGTTTCCCAGTGGAGATGGGTACCTACAGCTGACAACGCAGCGGATGATGCGACGCGGTCGCAGAGCAAGGCGGACCTTAGCCCGGAATCCCGGTGGCTAAGCGGTCCCGCATTTTTGAGGCAGCCAGAAAGCGGCTGGCCAACGCCTGAGAAGGGAACCGAGCATGTTCCAGATGCACCTGACGAGGAGGAGATGCCCGGTGAGTTCGCTTTGGTAGCATCGAATGAATTTGTCATCCTGTTCCAGAGATTCTAGAGCTTCAGTCGCCTGGTGAGGACCACCGTCTGGGTCCTGAGGTTTGCGCGACGGTGCCGCAAACAGAGAAGCGAGCTCAGGAATATGGACTCACTGCAACGGAGTGTGAGGCCGCGGAGAACCTGTTAATCAGGCAGGCCCAATTGGAGTCGTTTCCCGACGAGATGAGGTCGGCGGAACGCGGAAAGGACGTCGCCAACTCGAGCGAGATTCGAAGTCTGGCGCCTTACGTGGACAAGTATGGAGTTCTGCGAGTTTATGGCAGAGTCGATGCCGCGCTGTCCATGCCATACAGTGCGAGGAGGCCTGTGATACTGTCACACAGGCATAGTCTTACGGAGATGGTAGTAAGACACTACCACGCCCAGATGAAGCTTCAAAACGTGGATGCGACGATTGCCCAGATCCGGACGAGATTCTGGGTCACCAAGATAAGACGAGTGCTGAAGGAGATAATCTCGTCGTACAACGTGTGCAAGCTGCAACGGACGCGGCCGATACCGCCGATAATGGGACCCCTTCCAGAGGATCGCTTTGAAGCTGGAGGATGGCCATTCAAGTACACAGGACTGGACTACTTTGGGCCACTGCTGGTGACCGTTGCCCGTCACAGAGAGAAGCGTTGGGTCGCCTTGTTCACATGCTTGACGACAAGGGCAATTCATCTGGAGCTGGCGCATGACCTGTCAACGGATTCCTGTATAATAGCAATCAGGAACTTCGTCTGCCGTAGTGGACCAGTACGTAAACTGCGGAGTGACAACGGCAAACACTTCGTGGGAGCTGACAGGGAGGCCAGACGATTTGGAGACGTGTTCGAGACGGAAAGGATACAGAGTGAGTTATCCAACAGGAGCATTGAGTGGGTTTTTAATTGCCCATCCAACCCGTCTGAGGGCGGAGTATGGGAGCGGATGGTGCAGTGCGTCAAGCGAGTGCTGCGCCATACCCTGATGGAAGTCGCGCCGAGGGACCATGTGTTGGAGAGTCTACTCATAGAGGCAGAGAACATAGTCAACTCGCGTCCGCTCACCAACTTGCCAGTGGATGCGGACCAGAAGGCGCCGTTGACGCCAAACGACCTGCTCAAGGGAGTAGCTAACCTGCCAGATACGCCTGGATTGGATGCGAAGCTGCCCAAGGAGGGTTCTACGCGAAAGCAGTGGAGGATTGCCCGCATGCTGCGAGACCGTTTCTGAAGGAGGTGGGTCATGGAGTACCTGCCTACGCTTGTGCGCCGCGAGAAGTGGTGCCAGAGAACGGAGACCATCCGCCAGGGCGATATGGTCTTCGTCTGCGATCCCGCCTTGTCCAGACGAGAGTGGCGCAAGGGCATCGTGGAGGAGGTTTACAGCGGAGGTTTACAGCGCGCCACCGTGCGCGTAAATGATAATGGACTATCTTGGACAATGTTGCGGCCCGTCTCTAAACTTGCAGTTTTGGATTTAAGGGAAGCGGGTCTTCACGGGGTCGGGGATGTCGACGGTCACAACATTATCGATAGTTAAGTTAGTATAATTAGGAAATGTAGTATTTTAAGTTATCGATCTTGAATTACGGTCCTACTAATAGTTGTAATGTGAGTGCCGCCGAAAATTGCTTCTCATTGTTTTGTGAATTGTAGGAGGGCACACTGCGGTAAGAAGAAGAGATATTTTTGAATGGTAAACTAATATAATGAATTTACAGAATAAAACGTTCCGTTCCGTTAGCCACAGCCAAGGCCTTTAAAGTACCCCTTTCTTCGGACCTACGCGTGTGGGGAGCCGTTTAAGGCAACTCCACATGACACAAAACAACAGCTTTTATTCGCAGTCCTAGGGAGACTGCAAGGGCAACTTGCGCTGAAGAACGGCTCGACGACCAGCTAGAGAGTTGCCAGGAGCGCACGGAGCGCAGTTCCCGTACCAGCAGAGGAGTCGCAGCCAGCGACATAGACGGCGCAAGGAGCGCCAAACACTGAGTACGGACGGAGTCGCAGCCAGCGACACGGTGACGCAGCCAGCGTCAGTTCTGGAGACGCAGCCAGCGTCAGGATAGGAAGCGCAAGGAGCGCCAAGCACCAGCGGGCAGGAAGCGCAAGGAGCGCCGAGCATCAGCGGCAGCAGCCAGACGGCACAGGTCCGCCATTTTGGAGCGCTAGGGCAGCGCCATATTTGGACATATTTATTGGACACCTGGAGATGCAGCATTCCCCCAGGAAGAGTTCCCGGCTGAACGGAGGGGAAGCCACCCCTACAACAACGCAGCAGCCAGCGAGTAGTGCAGCAGAAAGCCGGCCAAGGGTTAACATAACCACGGCGGAGGCCATTTCTCGCCCTGCCACTGCAGCGACTACAGTAGCGTCCCAACCAAGGAGCACTGTAACAGCAGCTGCGAGCTCAGAGCCGGAGGTGAGCCAGCCACTCACGGCGTACCTATTGGAGAGGATTACGGCGTTGGAGATCGAGCTGAAGAAGGTCAAAGCCTTGGACGCAACAAGCACCGCCAATTGCGCGCCAATCGCAGTTGGCCCAAGCGCAAATGGCGCCAACAGTGGAGCGTCGGAGCGGCCGCCATCGTGGAGCGGACCGCCATTAGCCGCCACATCGAACGGTGAGGTCCCAACTAACGGGGTCGGGCCGGACCCATATAGCAGTTTCGGTGCGACCAGTGGGGCCTACACGCTGCCGCCATCTTGGAGTGGACCACCGTTGCTAACGACTAGCAACCCACTGTGCGCTACAAGTGCTGCGCAGACAGCGCATGGATTCGCGCTACCGGGCGGGAGCATCCACAACGTGGCAACTGCATCGCCATTTGTTGGATCCTACGCCTGGATGACCAAGGAGGCTCCCGGACTTGCCTACATTTGGAGGGCAGCCCGAGGATTGGCCCATTTTTAATTGTGCGTTTGTGGAGACGACCCAAGCGTACAACTGCACAGACCTGGAGAACAACCAGAGGCTGTTGAAGGCGCTGAGGGATGAAGCACGCGAGACTGTGAAGTCGCTGCTGATTCACCCTGCGAATGTCAGAGCCGTGATGGAGCAGCTGCGCTTTAGGTTTGGCCGACCGGAGCAGCTTATACGCAGCCAGCTGAACAGCGTGCGAGAGGTGCAGCCGATTTCGGAGCAGCAACTGGCGAGGATCGTCCCCTTCGCAACCAGAGTGAGTAACCTCACGGCCTTCTTGCAGTCGGCGAAGGCGGAGCAACATCTGGGAAACCCCACACTCATGGAGGAGCTTGTTGCAAAGCTTCCCACCAGCAAACGAGTGTATTGGGCCAGGCACGCTGCATCGATCCAGCCCTTTCCCACTGTAGCGCACTTCAGCGCGTGGCTACAGGAGTACGCGAACATCGTGTGTACGATTTTGGACGTCGATGGAAAGGAGCCGAGGCGTCGAGTTCTACACGCGAGCGTCGACCAGAACGGATACGAGCAGCGGGATGACCGGCATGGAGGTTGTCCAATTTGTGAAGGTCAACATGCTACGACGAGTTGCAGCGAATTCATTGAAGCTTCGCCACCGGGCAGATGGAGCATGGTGAAGAGGCATCGGCTCTGCTTCACATGCTTACGGAGTGGGCATGCGGCCAGATCCTGCGATGTGCATGGCGAGTGCCAGATCAACGGATGCCGCAGATTGCATCACCGTCTGCTACATGAAGAGGACGAAGGGCGAAGACGGCCGGAGCAGCGAGGTGGTTTCAGGCGCCACAACGGAGGAAACCAGATGTCACCAGTTTCCAGACGCAGCCCGGAAAGGAGGTCTTCGCCACGAGGTGGTTACAGGGACCACGAGAGGAGCCAGCAGTCGGCTGTCCTCAGGAACAGCCTGGAGAGAAGGGCCCCGCAGCCAGCAGAAGCTCCCGTGCAGACGAATTTAAGTATTGACGTCGAAGGAGGCCGACTTTTGTTTCGCATACTACCAGTAACGCTGTACGGAGCTGGTCGCCAGGTGGACACATACGCGCTGTTAGATGAGGGATCCTCCGTCACGATGATCGACAACGAGCTACGAAGGGATCTGGGATTGCAAGGCGAACATCGACAGCTTAACGTCCAATGGTTTGGAGGAAGAGCCAGCAGGGAGCCTACCAACGTGGTGAGTCTGGAGATAAGTGGAGCTGGGAAGCCCACTCGCCACCCGTTGAAGAACGTGTACGCCGTTTCAAACTTGAGTCTGCCGATGCAGACGTTATGTCGACGAGATGTCCAGGGCGTGCAAAGGGATTCGAGACTGCCAATGAAGCCCTACAGCAACGTGGTGTCGAAGTTGCTCATCGGACTGGACCATGGACATTTGGGATTGCCACTTAGGACGAGGCGGTTTGCCAGAGAGGGACCGTTCGCGGCCGCAACCAAGCTTGGATGGGTTGTGTTTTGGCCAGTAAGTGGACAATTAACTACGCCGTCACCGAGGTCCTGCCTTCTAGCCGTGTCAGTGGAGGACACGATGGAAAAGATGGTGGAAGACTACGTCGAGATGGAAGGCTTTGGTGTGAAGCTCGCGCAACCGGTCGCAGCCAGCGACGACGCGCGGGCCCAAAGGATCCTCGACCACACCACGGTGAAAGAGGGGCGTCGCGACCAGACGGGATTGCTCTGGAAGGATGACCACGCTGTGCTGCCACGGAGCTATGAGATGGCGCACAGACGGCTGATCAACGTCGAGAAGAAGTTGAAGCGCAACGGGCAGTTGGCTCTGGAATACGACCGTATCATCAAGGATTACGTTTCCAATGGATATGCAAGGAAGCTGCAGCCGGATGAGGTCGCGGTGAAGAGCGACAAGCTGTGGTATTTGCCACATTTTGGTGTGGAAAACCCAAACAAGCCCGGAAAGGTCCGGCTTGTGACCGATGCTGCAGCCAAGGTTGGAGGAACCTCACTCAATTCGGCGCTGGACAAAGGGGCTCAGCACTACAAGCCCTTGCCAGCTGTGCTCTTCCTCTTCAGAGAAGGAGCAGTCGGAGTCTGCGGGGACATCAAGGAGATGTTCCACCAAGTGCTGATCCGACCCGAGGATCGATATTCCCAAAGGTTCCTCTGGAGAAATGGCAACGACGATCGAGAGCCGGATATATACGAAATGAACGTGATGACTTTTGGAGCAGCCTGCTCGCCGAGCACTGCGCACTACGTCAAGACGCTGAATGCCTTGAAGTTTCGGGATTCAGATCTGAGGGCAGTCAAGGCCATCATCGACCACCATGTCGATGACTACGTGGATAGTTTCGATACGGAGAGCGAAGCTATCGAGGTATCTACCCGAGTGAAGGAGATACACGCGGAGGCTGGATTCGAACTATGCCAGTTCTCATCCAGCTCACCCATCGTGGAAGCGGCGCTGGGACCACCTGGACAAGTCAAGAGCGTCGGATGGGGTGAGTCTGAGCAGAAAATCCTCAGACTCAAATGGAATGCGTTGGCAAGTAGCAACGGATGACTTCAGATTCAACGTGGAGTATCATCGAGTGCCAAAAAGCGTCCTAAGTGGAGAGCGAGTCCCAACAAAGGGGGAGTTTTTGAGCCTGCTGATGTCAACGTTCGACCCATTGGGGTTCCTGTGCTGCATGATGATTACAGCGAAGCTGTTGCTGCGGGAGATCTGGAGGCAGAAGATCCAGTGGGACGAACCACTGCCGGAGGAGATAGGCAGAGCCTTTGCTGCCTGGCGCAGAGAGATGGGACAGTTCCGATGTCCTTGCCACTATTTTGGGCGTGGAGAAGTTTGGACAATCGAGCTACACGTTTTCGTGGACGCAAGTCAATCTGCATTCGCGGCGGTGGCCTATTGGAGGGTCACGTACAAGAATTGAAACGTGCTGGTTAGCTTCGTGTGCGCAAAGACGAAGTGTGCGCCGATGAGAACGATGTCCATCCCACGACTGGAGCTGCAGGCAGCGGCCCTTGGAACCAGAGTGATGAATACTGTCAAGGAAGAACACAGTGTGGACATCAGCGAGACGGTTTTATGGACGGACTCAAAAACGGTGCTGAAATGGATCGGTAGCACCCACCGCCGGTATAAGCAGTTTGTTGGCAACCGAGTGGCGGAGATTTTGGAGTCATCGAAGGTTTCCCAGTGGAGATGGGTACCTACAGCTGACAACGCAGCGGATGATGCGACGCGGTCGCAGAGCAAGGCGGACCTTAGCCCGGAATCCCGGTGGCTAAGCGGTCCCGCATTTTTGAGGCAGCCAGAAAGCGGCTGGCCAACGCCTGAGAAGGGAACCGAGCATGTTCCAGATGCACCTGACGAGGAGGAGATGCCCGGTGAGTTCGCTTTGGTAGCATCGAATGAATTTGTCATCCTGTTCCAGAGATTCTAGAGCTTCAGTCGCCTGGTGAGGACCACCGTCTGGGTCCTGAGGTTTGCGCGACGGTGCCGCAAACAGAGAAGCGAGCTCAGGAATATGGACTCACTGCAACGGAGTGTGAGGCCGCGGAGAACCTGTTAATCAGGCAGGCCCAATTGGAGTCGTTTCCCGACGAGATGAGGTCGGCGGAACGCGGAAAGGACGTCGCCAACTCGAGCGAGATTCGAAGTCTGGCGCCTTACGTGGACAAGTATGGAGTTCTGCGAGTTTATGGCAGAGTCGATGCCGCGCTGTCCATGCCATACAGTGCGAGGAGGCCTGTGATACTGTCACACAGGCATAGTCTTACGGAGATGGTAGTAAGACACTACCACGCCCAGATGAAGCTTCAAAACGTGGATGCGACGATTGCCCAGATCCGGACGAGATTCTGGGTCACCAAGATAAGACGAGTGCTGAAGGAGATAATCTCGTCGTACAACGTGTGCAAGCTGCAACGGACGCGGCCGATACCGCCGATAATGGGACCCCTTCCAGAGGATCGCTTTGAAGCTGGAGGATGGCCATTCAAGTACACAGGACTGGACTACTTTGGGCCACTGCTGGTGACCGTTGCCCGTCACAGAGAGAAGCGTTGGGTCGCCTTGTTCACATGCTTGACGACAAGGGCAATTCATCTGGAGCTGGCGCATGACCTGTCAACGGATTCCTGTATAATAGCAATCAGGAACTTCGTCTGCCGTAGTGGACCAGTACGTAAACTGCGAAGTGACAACGGCAAACACTTCGTGGGAGCTGACAGGGAGGCCAGACGATTTGGAGACGTGTTCGAGACGGAAAGGATACAGAGTGAGTTATCCAACAGGAGCATTGAGTGAGTTTTTAATTGCCCATCCAACCCGTCTGAGGGCGGAGTATGGGAGCGGATGGTGCAGTGCGTCAAGCGAGTGCTGCGCCATACCCTGATGGAAGTCGCGCCGAGGGACCATGTGTTGGAGAGTCTACTCATAGAGGCAGAGAACATAGTCAACTCGCGTCCGCTCACCAACTTGCCAGTGGATGCGGACCAGAAGGCGCCGTTGACGCCAAACGACCTGCTCAAGGGAGTAGCTAACCTGCCAGATACGCCTGGATTGGATGCGAAGCTGCCTAAGGAGGGTTCTACGCGAAAGCAGTGGAGGATTGCCCGCATGCTGCGAGACCGTTTCTGGAGGAGGTGGGTCATGGAGTACCTGCCTACGCTTGTGCGCCGCGAGAAGTGGTGCCAGAGAACGGAGCCCATCCGCCAGGGCGATATGGTCTTGGTCTGCGATCCCGCCTTATCCAGACGAAAGTGGCGCAGGGGCATCGTGGAGGAGGTTTACAGCGGAGCTGATGGAGTCGTCAGACGCGCCATCGTGCGCGTAAATGATAATGGACTATCTTAGACAATGTTGCGGCCCGTCTCTAAACTTGCAGTTTTGGATTTAAGTGAAGCGGGTCTTCACGGGGTCGGGGATGTCAACGGTCACAACATTATCGATAGCTAAGTTAGTATAATTAGGAAATGTAGTATTTTAAGTTATCGATCTTGAATTACGGTCCTACTAATAGTTGTAATGTGAGTGCCGCCGAAAATTGCTTCTCATTGTTTTGTGAATTGTAGGAGGGCACACTGCGGTAAGAAGAAGAGATATTTTTGAATGGTAAACTAATTTAATGAATTTACAGAATAAAACGTTCCGTTCCGTTAGCCACAGCCAAGGCCTTTAAAGTACCCCTTTCTTCGGACCTACGCGTGTGGGGAGCCGTTTAAGGCAACTCCACATGAATCAAAACAACAGCTAATTTTTAACCCATTCGAAAGGTACCAGTCCCATTAAAATGAAGTCCCGATAAATTCGGACCTTATTCGCCAACACTGGCCATTATCATTTTCCCGAGTTCTGACGCTGCCCAAAACCTTCTTTTACAGGGGATGCGCTATTATGCACGGTATACCACGAGAAAGCTAATTTTTAAACCATTCGAATGGTACCAGTACCATTAAAACCGCTACCACAGATTTTGAGAAATCAAGTCCCGATATTTTCGGACCCTGATTCGCCAATACTGGCCATTAACAGCATCACATATTTCTGCGCTGCCTAACACGGCGCCCGCTATTATGAACCTTGAATGCCTACCCTAGCTTTTTTACAGAAGATGCGCCATTACGCACGGTATTTCGCTCCGACAGATTTTGACAAATTAAGTTCCGAAATTTTTGGAGCCTGATTCGCAAATACTGGCCATTACAATTTTCCCGTGTTTTGACGCTGCCCAATACGGCAGCCGCCATTATAAATGTTTACCCATTTTTAAAAAGGATGCGCCATTTTGCACGGTATACCACGAGAAAGCTAATTTTTAACCCATTCGAATGGTACCAGTCCCATTAAAATCAAGTCCCGAAATTTTCGGACCCTGATTCGCCAATACTGGCATTTATCATTTTCCCGAGTTCTTACGGCGCCCAACACTTTTTTTAACGGGGGATGCGCCATTATGCACGGTATACCACGAGAAAGCTATTTTTTAACGCATTCGAATGGTACCAGTCCCATTAAAATCAAGTCCCGAAATTTTCGGACTCTGATTCGCCAATACTGGCCATTATCATTTTCCCGAGTTTTGACGCTGCCCAATACGGCAGCCGCCATTATAAATGTTTACCCATTTTTAAAAAGGATGCGCCATTATGCACGGTATACCACGAGAAAGCTAATTTTTAACCCATTCGAATGGTACCAGTCCCATTAAAATCAAGTCCCGAAATTTTCGGACTCTGATTCGCCAATACTGGCCATTATCATTTTCCCGAGTTTTGACGCTGCCCAATACGGCAGCCGCCATTATAAATGTTTACCCATTTTTAAAAAGGATGCGCCATTATGCACGGTATACCACGAGAAAGCTGATTTTTAGCCCATTCGAATGGTACCAGTCTCATTAAAATTGCTCCCACAGATTTTGAGAAATCAAGTCCCGAAATTTTCGGACCCTGATTCGCCAATACTGGCCATTATCATTTTCCCGAGTTCTGACGGCGCCCAACACTTTTTTTAACGGGGGATGCGCCATTATGCACGGTATACCACGAGAAAGTTATTTTTTAACCCATTCGAATGGTACCAGTCCAATTAAAATCGCTTCCACAGATTTTGAGAAATCAAGTCCCGAAATTTTCGGACTCTGATTCGCCAATACTGGCTATTATCATTTTCTTGAGTTTTGACTCTGCCCAACACGGCAGCCGCCATTATGAATGATTACCTTATTTATAGAGGATAAAGCTTATTTTATTCAGAAGATTATAAGACAATTTGTATTTGAATCGGTCCCACAGATTTAAAGAAATCAAGTCCCGAAAATTTCAGACCCTGATTCACCAACACTGGCCATTAACAGCATCACATATTTCTGCGCTGCCTAACACGGCGCTCGCTATTATCACTAACCATACAGCATATAGAAGTAAATATAGATTGATTTGTATAATAAAGTAGTGGTTGGTTATCCCTCGCTGCAGTCGGTGATGCCGCAGATGTAGGAGGTACGTGTTCAGATAATTTCCCTTTGTGGTTGCAGGGGGGGTGTTGCCACTCCTTATAGGCAGTGGTTGAGATCCCTGGCGGTTGCCGGGGGGGGATCTTTCCTGTAACAGGAGTTATGATGGGAGCACTTGCCCCGTTGTCACGGCCCTTGAGGCGCGGTGACCAATTCAACAAATGAATTTACAAGTTAACGGCAGTGCCGGAGATTGGTTTTATGGTGCTCTTTATTGTATGAGACTCTGACACAAACTGAAACTTAAAGCTAACAAAAAGTATTTCATAGCGGCCACGCAAATGTGCAGTGCTTGCCGCTATGCATGGGCTTCCGGCCAGACGCTGTGTCAGCAGTTTGGCCAGAGCGAGCTCTTAAATAATCGGACATTGCCGCTGCTCGGTTAACTTCAGTTAACTACTCCCCCTTCAAGAATGAGGCCGCCCTCGGCCGACCCTATTTGGGCAATTATCTCCTTCAGCTGGGCCGCGGTTTTTCGGGCCTGAGTGACTCGCCGATAGGTCAAGCCGATGCCAATTTAAGCGCAGCATATTGCTCCCGCTATGAACACCAACTGATGTAACTGATGGTGGTTAATCTCCTTCCCGAACTCTTTGATGTGCTCCAGATTACGTTCACTCAGTCGGTGAAGGTATGGAAGGCTAAGAACGTCACGTTCCATGGTGATGTTCAGGGAAGGTGAGCTGGCCACTCCTGGAGCCCTCTTCTGGGCTGTGTCATGATTGACCAATCGGGTTTCGTTGACCATGGCACTCTTTTCAAACGTGATGAGATATGTGCCTTTTATATGGGCACAGGTTCCATTGTCCACACACACGTGAGCCGAGCGATCATTCACAATTACTATTCCTTCATCAACATAAGTGATGAGGTGTAAATCGCTTTGCTTGACCTTGCAATGCGCCGTGCCTCCACCGTGAAGCTCTTGGGCGCATGATCTTCTGCGAGCCAATCGGCAAAATGTAGCTCCTGATGTCGGGGAGCACTTTTCCACGGTGTGGATCTCACTGTTGCATTCGGCAATGACGTTATCTTCCAGCCTGAGCATGGTGTCGTGATGTGACACTGGGAAAACGGTAATTTTGCTGCAGGCCGACTTTATCTTTGGAAACTTAATAATAAAATGTAATATGTTATCGGACTGTAAGATCTTAACGGACGATACGGACAAAACATCCCTAATCGCGGTCTCGGTGGGCTCTTCCATCCACACACCTTCCAGGTCTGCATGATCTAGGATGCTGGGGCCAACAATATTAACTTTGGCAAGTGCCACTGCTAGCATCAACCCTTGCAGCTCCATTGCTATCATCCTATTTCGAGTTAAAAGCATCTCGAATAGGTGCCCAGTATCAATTTGGGACTTTTTTGCTGACCTCAGAAGTTGGTTGACGGTAGCGGAAATTTTATTGATTTGAATTTGTACTTTGTTGTTAATATTAATCTGCCTATTGTTTGCATTTGCTAATTGGAATTGATTAAATTTAATTTTTTCAAAATCTTCTGCGTCCGGCGTTCCTGCCACCACCTTTAGCGCAGTCCCTAAGAAGTCTAAACTTCTTGCTACTCTATGGTGGACGCTCAAAGAGTCGAGCATGTCGCGTAGGTGGGCGACGTCAACAACCAGGAGTTTCTGCATGTGAGATTGCGGGAACATGACGGTCATCCCATTAGTTTCTTCGATGACGCGCCTATATTCCGAGAGATTTGCTGAGTGCTTTACAAAGGCAAATTCCTCCCATATTAGGATTCGCCCATCAACGATGGGAATTTATTTGGCTTTGGAATAGTCCGTGACGCGTGCCGAAGTTGTGGCCAAAATGAGAATCAGGGATATGGTTGAAAACCTGTAATTTTTATGTGAATTTTGTTGAAGTTGGGTAGCCCACCACCAAAGCATGATTAAAATAATAAAGGGCGCAAAACTTATGCCTAGTGGCTAGAAAAAAGATAATGAAAAGTGAGATTATCAGGCGGGCGATAACATGGTCGCGCTCGGCCTACCTAAGGTTGTCTTTGTGGACCACCCTCCCCTTAATAAGGACTGTGGTCCCCATGTCCGCTTCAACGGTTTTCTCTTCACATAATGGTGAGAGTTTGTTGCCTAGGCGTCTGTTGGACTTCACTAGGACTTTCTCGCCAACCTCGAATACTCTCTTTTGGCGGGAAGCGTTTTCTCTGTCCCGGAGCTTGTCTTGGGCGAGTTTAATTTTATCTTGAATTTCATATTGTGGCTCACCTGATTGTGCCTGAACCACGTCAGCCGGTCTCTTGTCGATGACCGAGTGGA